ACGGGCGGGGACCCCACATCCACGGGCGGGGACCCCACATCCACGGGTGGGGACCCCACATCCACGGGTGGCTCCTGTTAGAGGTTCCTCACCCCACTGACACCTGGGAGCTCATCCCTGGCATTGTTAGGGCTTCTTGGTGCATGTGGCCTAGCCTACCTCTGGTTCAGTGCAAAAACCAAGTATTGCCATGCATTAGTTTGTCTGGATCTGGGAACCTCTTCTCCTGTGGAGATCAACGAGTGTCTCCTTTTGGTCACATACTCTTAGTGACTGTGGGGTGTACTTTTAAATTTTTTGATAGGAACTTTAATTGATCAAACTGGACAAAAACCTATTGTTTGGATTTGACTTTGAAAAGTGGTCCTGGGAGTCACTGTCACTCTCAGGGATTCTCTGTGGGGGTTATGTTACCAGGCTAATGGCTTGAATATATTTGTTTGCAGAAAGCTAAATAATATTCTAGTGACTTTTTCTTTGCAGTGATAATTTGTGGTTTGTTTGTGAACTGAGCAAGGTAATTAAGTTTTCTTTTTATTAGGAAGGCATATGAGTTGGAAAAACTCCTAACAGGCTAATTTTGAAGTCAGAGCTGAGGTTCATTTATCGTGAAGGTCAACCACCTCCTGCCTGAAATTCAGCTATGACAACTAATTGTAATGTCTGTTCCTTCAGTTTTGGGGTAGATAACACAGAAACCATAGGCTCAAAGATTTGTACCAAAAGGTTATACTGAGATAGAGTATTCCAGAGGATCCAGGGGTTGTATTCCATCCCATGATTTCCATTTACTTCTTTTGAGATCTGTCATGAAGGTAGGAATGCTAGTAATTCACCAAGGGTTGTGGAGCACTATGACCATCCGAAGGCTGACCCATAGGGTTGGGTCTGTCCTCTACTTGTAGGTTTTGACTTATCATGTGAAGAAATCATACTGGGATATCATGATGGTTCCTCTCCACCAGGAGTCTAGTGGCTTGTTCACTACAGAGATTTAAATGTATGAGTTCTTCTGCCTCCTCCTAGAACAGCAGAGTTGTGCCTTTCACCTCTCCAAGTGGGCTGGCATGCAAGTAGACTTGGAATGCAAACGGGAATGACATGACTTCAAGGAGAGTTGTTCATGCAAGTGTATATGATACCCCACACCCTCACTCCCCTCTTGGGCAATTGTGGTGACGTATCTTGACATGAAGAATTCGTGAGTGTGACAGGGAAAGACTATCACAGCCGGTATTTCCTTGCCAGGACACACTCTGTGAACAAACCTGAACTGTGTTAGACTTGAGCATTTGTGTAGGCAGTGTCTGCTCCTTCATTTCCCGGCCACCCAGATTGGGATAATTACACAGAAACTATATTAGTTACAACACTGCTTGGTCTACTAGCTCAGGCTTCTTATTGGCTAGCTCTTACAACTTAAATCATCCCATTTCTATTAATCTGTGTATCGCCACAAGGCTGTGGCTTATCTGAAAGGTTCTTGGGGCATCTTTCTTCTTCAGCAGCTACAAGGCATCTTTCTGACTCCACCTACTCTCTCTCTCTCTCTCTCTCTCTCTCTCTCTCTCTTCTCTATCTCTATCTCTGTTCAGTTTTCCATCTAGCTTTATTTGCTAAGTCCTTGCCGGAAACAGCTTTATTCATAAAGCTTTATTCATAAGCAGCACATACACAGAAGGACATTCCACATCACAAAACAGTGACTTGACAACTTCTAGAAAATGTGATTACATCACACAACGAATTCCAAAATTTTCTGAAATTGTGGTTGTGAATAAGCAGTTATATTTCTAGAATTATTTTCAGGATATGGACTTTAGGCAGCACACACCAAAACATTCCAAAGAAACTGCTGTTGATACAGTTTGTGGTGGTAAATAGTTCGGGCATTGACAGCGATGTAATCTGTAAGGGGAACTTCAGGAGAATTTAATACACCCCTAGTGATTTTATCTTGTTAGGTTTATTGCTTCATGTTTTAAACTTATTATTAGTTTACACTTGCAACAATTAACTAGGTAAATGGTTTTCAGCTGAAATTCTAGGTTAAAAAAATTGCATGAAAAATAAAATGATGATGTTCATCTGCCACACCTGTTTGCTCCTGAATGCATTACTAATGAGCGTGTTTATCCCCTGGAAGGAACTTACACTTGAAGATGCAGAAATATATAAGAGCTAGGTAAGCTAAGATAGAGAAAGGAAACATTATTGCCAATTAAGTATCAATCAGGGTTTTTTTTGAACCTCATGCACTATATTGGGATGTGTGTTCATTGTGCAATGAGGGAATGCATGTTTGGCTTCTGGGAAATAACATGCTGAACTAAAATGAGTTGGAAATTGCCTTTGCAATTCATATGCCAGTCACTGGGAAAGGAAGTTCTTGTGCTTTTGCTTCATCTGGTCCACAGTAGGGCAATTGCTGTTTGAATTCGGAACATTCTTAGACCAAAATCCTAATGAATGACACACTGTAGAGAGGTGGGGCTTTTAAGAGGTCACTGTTACAGGAGGCTCCTCCTCTACAAGTCAAGTACTGTTTTGCAGGGGTGGATTAGATACTCTGAAGAGATCCTTCCTAGCAAAGGAGCACCCATTCCTACCCTCTCACTCCTGGCTGTCACCACCCAACATCATGCCTTAGTCACTCTTTTTGTTAAGAGCCAACATGACCAAGGCAACCTTTATAAAAAAAAAAAAAAGAAGAAGCTATTCTCTGGGGCAGTGGTGGTGCATGCCATTAGTCCCAGCACTCGGGAGACAGAGGCAGGTGAAATCTCTTGAGTTCAAAACCAGCCTAGACTGCAT